AGTCTTTAGGCTGAAGTAGATAGCTACCTCACCTCGGTATCTCTGAACCTGGGCTCTGCAGAGTACAGGTCCTTAGCAAAGCCACACAATAAGGCTCTTGTAAGCACAATCCCTATGTGGCAGGCTAACGCAGCTTTGCCCCGAGTCATTACTCACCACAGGTGCAGACTCTGTGCTGCTCAGGTCATGTTTTTGTGGTCTCTGTAGACCAGCCCTATACTTCAAAAACAAAATACTGGCACTAGAAGATCACTGCAATACAATGAAAACAGAGGGAGACATTGTAGGATCTGGAGGAATACTCCAGCAACACAGCTACCAAAGAGCTGACACAGTCACCATAACGGGGAAAGAAGGAAGCATGAGGCGTCCTTACTACTTTTCCCCATCCCCCAATATCCTCTCCATAGGTACACGTGTTCAGGTCGAAGCACTATCTGCAGGGGGAAACAATTTATGTCAACTGCTGCAAAGTATGTATTCTCTTGGGACAGTAGTTTCTACCTGTGTGGATAGAGAATGACTTCCACACCATCCGCTTCCTTAATGGAAACAGAAACAGAGCAGGAAGGTACACAACGAAAAGCATGGGCTGTACATAGCATAACAGGGACCACAAGGAGAGAGAAAACCCAAAGCAGTGCCTGGAACCTCTCATATCACTGTCTTTTCTTCCTGCACTAAATTGAGAGATGTGGCCAAATCCATGTCACCCCTCATAAGGCAAAAAACTTCAGGACCTTGAGAGAGCGTAAGAAAGGTCCATTAGAGGTGCAATAGATATACTCAACTACTACAGCACCAAACTTCTGCTTAAATTCTGAATAGCAAAATGCATTTTATTTTTAAAACTATATTCAAATATCAACAAAATAGGCTTGCACGTTTAGAGGGCTGGTTTTTTTCTCTACAATGCTGGTAAACTACAGGATGCTTGAAGGAGAAAGGGAAGAAGGGTTACTAGTGAATTACTATTTAGAATTTAGCTATTTTAACACCAAAATAAAGCACATTCTACTTTCAAGGAGTTTTGACAGCAAACACTATTATTTAACAAGGTTAGTGGAATTCAGGGAGAACATGGGATTCAATTATTTTTTCAGTTCAATCATATATTACTTTTCTTTGGATTCTTTTTATTAGAGTATGTTCCAAAACCTTTTTATAGGCTGCTTTATAAAGAATCCTTTGTGGTGTGTGAGAGATGATTCTGTTTACTCACTAGAGAGACTTATATTTAGGTGATTTAGATGTGCACTTTACATTTAAGGAGTAAGGTATTGCTTCCACTTTG